GCGGATCCCACGGCTTCCCCCTGGATACGTCCCTGCACCCTGGCATCCCCTTCTCCACATCAAAAAAATTTCCACAGAGTTAGAGCGAAATACTTGTGAGTGATATATATGTCTGATGTAAATGAGAAGACATACAACGCATTTTGGTTTAGTAGCGCCTTTGATCTAATCCGCCAGATATTCTCTGCAGTGGTGTAACCACCGGGGGGAAAGGGATAAGTCCTGTGGAAAATCTCTCCCCGGCACCGGAGATGCCTTTTTACCCGTAAAGTAAAGTAGGCAAATTTCCTCTAAAAATGTACATTTTAGGGAGTTTTTACAGGATTCTTGTCAATTCCGACGAAATTTGCATTAAAAACACAACATTTGTTTGCGCGCTTCGCGCGCATTTTTCAGGGTTAACTTGTGCATTTCCTCGCCTTCTGTTAATTGAATACTAGCCCAAACTCAAAGAGAAAGAAAAAAGAAAAAAAAAAAAAAGAAGGGCCTCAATGTGTATTAGGGTAAAGATTGTATTTGTAATAAATAAAACCATAATGAAAAAAAACTTTTATTTAGTTTCAAACACACGTGTGTGTAGTAGTCATAGTAGCCATATGATAATCCTAAAAACTCAAATATTTTATGCTTAAATTTTGTTTCAAACACACATGTGTGGCCTAATATATATAAGGTAAGGCCTATGTCGTATTGTTTTTTATAATGGGCGATGGGTTGGGGGGTGTGTGTGAGGGGGAGAGTGTTACACCGGGTCATAAATTACTAACCGGGAAAAAGTATTACCTTTGCCCCCCCCACCCCATGACCCAAGACCCCTGTTACGCGCCTGGGTACAAACTGGCGTAAGTTATAAACCTATGGGTTTTCTGGACGGTTCATAATTGCTATTAATTACTACCAGTAGCGCTAACTACGTATAATTGTATAAATGAACAGTTTAAGCAATTTGAGACAAAAAAATTAAATTTTAAATTTTAAATAATTAGAATGTTCATTTGTACAAAATAGAAATGTAATTGAAAAATACAAAATGTCCTTAAATGAAAAAAAAAATTAATACACGCGATTCGAACTCACGACTTCTGGTGGCATATAACACATCGTTAAATTAACTCCTATTTTTCTGCACGTCAAAACTGGTGACACTGATCCATATCGTGTCTCTTTTTTAGTCATTAAAAAATGTTTGAAATATGCTTATATTTAAGAATGCATATATATATATATATATATATATATATATATATATATATATATTCTATTTTCTCGTTAATTGTTTGTACACTTACATCAACCTTCCGCAAACTGCGGGTCGCGACCCACCAGTGGGTACGCAAAAATATATTTATGGGTCAAGAGCCTTGACAAAAATCACAACATTTTAGATAGACCCTTTTAGAGACCATATCGGCATTAGGATACACTGAAATACAGTTTATTTTGTGATACATTTCGTCGAAATGTCACCTCATAACTAAGACCATGACTGAACTTGACAAAAACGTCTTATTTGAGCGCGCATATCTCCACACCAAGTTTTCCGCTTTGACGTCTTAAGCTACCTAGCTATGCGCGTATAGT